GTAGCAGGAGCAATTTCATTTTCCCACCTTCTGGTGCAACTTTGTAAGAGTTAGGACTCTTTAATTGCAAATGGCAGAACCTCAGTTCAGACTGTCTTAAAAATAAAGGGGGAGAGAGTTGGTTTACAGGCTTGTGTAACTGATTATGCCAGCACTGCTGGATCAGGCCTTCAAAAAATAGCCCTGGGAATTTGTCTTTCTAAACCTCTTGGCTCAGTTTTTCTGTGTTGGCCTCTTTTGAAGGCAGACTCTCTCTCTGTGTAGTGGCGCAGGAGAGCGCGAGCAGCTCAGTGCTGTGGTGAACATCATAGCAGTACTTATACCAGTTCAGATGCTTTTGGCTACTAGTAACAGGAAAACTGGCTCAATGGTAAGGACAGCAGCCAGGATCCAGAGTGAGGCTGGACTTTGCTATTTCTCTCAGCTATTTAGTGAATGGAGCCAAGCCCACCAGACAACTCCAAATATGTGAAGGGCACAAAATATGAGACCTGCGTTGGACTGTCATGTAAGAAATAATTTTTTATTGTATTAGGACACTGGGATTTGCGGGTCATTTGTTACAGCAGCCAGTGTTATTTACCTTAAGCAACACCTCGGTCTCATCCCAGCTCCTATCTTCTCACTTAGCCATTCAGTGAATACAGCCAAACTCACAGGCAGCAAGTCCAAATATGTGGAGGACACAAAATATGAGCTCTTACTGCATGCATTCTTGCCCTCTCCCCCAAACCATTGCCCACACAGAATCCCATGAGGCCCTTTACAATGCCAATATAATTATGTCATTCCCCTAATCAAAACCCTTCAATGGCTGCCTCTTGCTCTTCGGAAATCTCCACCAGCAGAAATGAATGCAGCCTCTGCACTGAGTCATCCGTGGGCCTGTCGGATGAGTTCTTTTCAATCCCCATCAGAAAGGAGGATCCGGAGCAGTTCAGTTCACTTGTACACATGCATGGTCTTGTCCCAAGCTCTATCAATGCTCCTGCTCTCTGTCACAATGTAGTCCCAAGGGACCTTGATCTTCTGGACATGCCACAGAATATCACTCAGGTCCACTGTACTGATCAGACCATGCTAACCGGACCTGGTAAGCAGGAAGTGGAAAGTGTCTGCACATTCTGCATAAACTCTGCGAAGATTAAGGAGCCTGCCCATTGGTGAGGCTTTCCTTCCAGCCTAATGGTCTAGGGCATAGCAAGACATCCTATCCACATGAAGGAGACGACGCTGCATCTTGCACTTCATATCACTAAGAAGATATAGCACAAGGTACGCCTCTTGGGGTGTTAGAGACAACTCATACGTAATTGGGGATGCTGTTTCTAACTCAGAGAGCTATTGGTTTTTAATTAGGCCCAGAGAAAAAGAGGGCTTTGCAGCAGAGTTTGCACGGTACAAGTGGTCCTGCCACTTGAGTAGTATAACATGAGATCCCATGGCATAGAAGTACCCATGGTAGAAAACAACAATGTGTGGAATTTCTGGCAAGCCTCAATAGGAGAGTTGCAACACAGACCCCTAGGGTTCTGGACAAAGGCCATGCCATCTGCAGCAGAGAACTCTTCACTATTTGAAAAAGCCGTTCCTGGCATGCTACCGGGCTCTAGCAAAGACTGAGTACCTTACCATAGGATACCCACCAATCAGGAGCTGGCTGTTGTTAGACCCCTCAAATCATAAGATTGGGCAAGTGAGCAGAAATTCATAGTACAGTGGAAATGGCACATGTGGGATCAGTCCTGAGCAGGTGCAGAGGGTTCAATTAGGTCACACCAACCTGTGGCCCAGACCTCCCTGTTATCTACCTCCCTGATTCTGACTCTCGTCCTCAGCTCCTACCTGTGTCCTACCTGCCTGATGGAGAAGGAGAAAATCCAAGCCAAGTTCACGGATGGGTTGGCTCAATCCACTCGTGTGAGCTGAAAGTGTATGGCTCCTGCACTACGTCCCCCCTTGCGGCAGCTTTTGAAGACTAGACAGAGCTTTGGGCAGTATACTTGGTCGTCAACTTTGTGAGAAAAGATAAGTGGCCTGAGTTAAGGATGTATGCTGACTTCTTGGTGGCGCTAAAATGGCTTAAATGATTGGTCAGGAGCCTTGAAGGAGCAGTATTAGAAGATCAGAGATCTTGAGGCAGAAGTATGTGGATGGATCTGCGGGAGAACAAAGTGTGTGGATGCTTGTGCCTCATGTCGGTGCCCATCAGTGAGCATCCAGCACAAGAAGGCAAGTGAACAACCGGATGGACAGGGTGGTGACTGGGCAGTGGAAGTCAGCCAGCTTCTGTATTTAGCTATAACTGTGAGCTCCTGAACAGAATAACCAGGTAGCAGAGATGGAGACTTGGCAAGGGCCCGACAGCATGGGCTCCCTCCCACCAAGGCTCATCTAGCCACTGCTGCTGCTGGACATTTGGCCTGTTGGCATCCTCTGTTGACACTGAACCCTCAGTATGATGCCGTCCCTGGAAAAACCCAAACAGCCCACGGGTGGCAAGTTGATTGCATTAGATCATTTGTACCCTGGAGGGGGAAGTGATTTGTCTCTACTGGGATTCGTGTGGATTCCAAGAATGGATTTCTTTGCTCAACTAGCACCGCTATCTGAAGACTCACAAAGTGTCTGATTTCTCATCATGGGATCCTGGGTAACGAAGTCATAGGCCATGGGACTCATTTTATGATGAAGGAAAGATGACCATGGCCATGATATTCCACATCATTCAGAAGCTGCCTGTCTGATGGAACACTGAAATGGCCTCTTTTTTGCACAGGTAAGATACCAGCTTGGAGATGACACCTTGGAGGTTAGGATGCTGTCCCTCAAGATGCAATATATGCTTTGAACCAACAGCATTATATGGCGTGTGTCCCTAAAAGTTACAATGCGTGGATCTGAGAGCCAAGGGGCAGCGTCACTGCCCCTCCACCATCACTTCCAGTGACCCTCTTAGGGAGTCTGTGTTTCCTTTCCCTGCAAGGTTAAGTCTTGCTGAACTAAAGGCCCTGGTTCCCAGGGGAAGGATGCTCCTACCAGGTGAAACAGTAACCGTTCCACTAACCTAAAGCTAAGCTGCTACGTGGTCATTTGGGGCTCCTATGCCGGTAGCCCAGCAGGCCAAAAAAAAAACAGCTAAAATATTAGCAGAGCCAGTTGACTCTCATTATCACAAAGACATAGGATTGCTGCCACGTAATGAGGACAGAGAAGAGGATTCTGAAACTCAGAGGATTTACTGGGGTGCCCCTTGGTGCTGTAATGCCCAATTTTAACAGTAAAGAGGCAATTACAGCAACCCCAGCCTCCTTCAGCATGCAAACCAGGGGCTCAGAGCCCTCAGGAATGAAGATCTAGGCTAACCCACCAGACAAGCAGAATTCCTGGCCAAAATAAGCACAGGAAAAGATGCTCAGCATCATCAGTCATTAGGGAAATGCAAATCAAAACCACGAGATATCACTTCACGCCCACCAGGATGGCCAGAATCAAAAAGAAGAAGTGTTGGTGAGGATGGGAAAAAATCGGAACCTTCCTACACTGCTGGTGGGAATGCAAAATAGTGCAGCTGCTTTGGAAAACAGTTTGGCAGTTCCTCAAAAAGTTAAACTATGAGTTATCATATGACCAAGCAATTTCACTCCTAGATACATACTCAAGAGAAGTGAGGGGCCGGCCCAGTGGCGCAGCGGTTGCATTCTCACGTTCCGCTTCTCGGCGGCCTGGGGTTCACCAGTTTGGATCCCGGGTGCAGACATGGCACCGCTTGGTGTCATGCTGTGGTGGGCATCCCATGTATGGAGTGGAGGAAGATGGGCACGGAGGATGTTGGCTTGGGGCCGGTCTTCCTCAGCAGGGAGAGGAGGATTGGCAGTAGTTAGCTCAGGGCTAATCTTCCTCAAAAAAAAAAAAAAAAAAGAGAGAGAAATGAAAACACATGTCCACATGCAAACTTGTACACAAATGTTCATTGCAGCATCATTCATCATGGCCAAAAAGTAGAAACAACCCAAATGTCCATCTCGAATGGATAAACAAAGTAGTATATTTGTGCAAAAGAATATTTTTCAGCCAGAAAAGGAATAAAATATTGATACATGCTACAATATGGATGAACCTTAAAAATAGTATGCTGAGTGAAAGAGGCCAGATGCAAAGGACCACAAATTGTATGATTCCACTTATATGAAATCTCTAGAATAGGCAAGGCTACAGAGACAGAAAGTAGTTGCCAGGGTTTGGGTGGTGGGGTGGGGCAAGGGAGTGGGGAGTGACTGCCAATGGGTGTGGGGTGATGATTGCACAGCTTTGTGAGTATACTAAAAGCCATCGCATTATACATTTTAAAGGAGTGAATTTTATGGTCTGTGAATTATATCTCAATAAAAAAGAAATTTATGAGAAAAATAATTGTTGGCCAAAAGTTGAGGAGACTTGAGAATGGTGATTGAAGATAAATTACAGATTCAGGACCAACTGAAACAGCAGAGATGTAGCCTACCCCACTAACCCTTTTTTTTTTTTAAGAAATTGTAATAATGGGCCACCACCTGGAAGGACCAGTGACCGGACAGAGTGAAGAACCTAATGTGAAGCATGAGGGAATCTAAGTGCCCTGTTTTCACAATAGCTCCCATCTGAAAGCAGCTGCAACTCTTTACCTGAGGGCTCTCTCTGGCCACTGGAGCCCTCGTGGTCCACCTGCAAGGGAGGCTGGGAGTGCCCTTAAGAAATGCCCATAAGAATTGATGGATCAATACCCCATTTCTCTCTGTTGCTCGGGATGACTCTATGATGCGTGTTCTCTACTATTTCCCAGACTTCCCCAGTGGAGTCTGCCTCCCAGTTGCCCATGGCAGTAACCTGTTCCCTAAAACACTCTTAACTAGCTTCCTTCCCATCCCTGTCTCATGACTCTAATCCCCTCCTGGTGCTTCCTGGGATCAACTGCCAAATAAGCCACTTGCACTCACATCCTTGTCGCAGGATCTGCTTCTAGGGGAACTCCACTGGACAAACTCCGTTCCAAGCTGGGTCTCCCCAATGGCCATCAGTAAATCCAAGTTTACAAGTTATCCTTCCAGCAACCTAAACTGGGGGTAAAAGATTGTTTCCCCTGAATTCCTCTATGGCCCTGGGAGAGGAGTAAAGTAAGGATCTCTGAGGGTCTGAGGCATTTAACAAGAAGGAGGGGCAACTCTTTGATTTTCCTTGGCCCCCAGCACATTTCCAACAGCTGCCAATGTTCCCTAGACTACTTTGCCATGTAAGAAGCCACCAGAGTTTGAAAGCATCGTGGTGTCCCACCGGCGTGGAATCATGGCCTGTGAATTTCCCCAAACTTTTCTTTCAAGGGAACGTTTCAAGATGTCTCTACAGGCTGACAAATGTTTCCAGATATAGGCAATGTACCTTAACTCAGCCAATGTACGTGATATAAAGGAGTTTAAATGGACGAGCAAAGTAAGCCACCGCAAGCCACTCCAGAAGCCTAGATTTTGGATGGCCCCACGAAGTTCATCGGGATGTAGGGATTGGAGGAGCTGAAAGTAGACTTAGATGGAGGCTGCCAAGGTTATGCAGGTCCTGGTAACACAGAAGCCTGAGGTTTGGTCTTTTTTTGGTGGGGTGGTGGCGAGACAGCATCTCTGCAAGGTGGGGAAGCACTTAACAAACCAACTCTACCGTGCTTGGTGGGGTTTTGTGGCAGTGTGAGGAAAGGGTTAATTTGTTTCAGGCCTGGGCTGGGGCAGGCCTACCTGGCAGCGACCTCAGGTCTCTGAGTTCTGCCAGTGCAGGAGAAGCGTGGAGTGTTGTGACAGTTTCTTCTGCCCTGTGGAAATGCACCTGTATCGGAGGCTCTCTGAATCTGCATGCTCGTCTCAGGCCCATGTGACTAATATGACATAAAAGATTGGTGCTAAATCAAGGCCAAGGCTTCTCCGTATGAAGGTGACTCACGCACACCTTGGCTCTGGTCAGGGCAGCTCACGCGCTGTGTGGTGAGGGGGCAACAGACGCTGTGCGGTACCTGGTACTGCTGGCCCTCCTGACGGGATGGAGAACTGTGCGAGCTGAATCTCCTGCTTTCTATCCCCCTATAAGAGTGTTTCTCAATTGGGCCTATTTTGTCCACCAAGGGACATTTGGCAATGTCTGGAGACATTTTGGGCTGTCACAACTAGAGGAAGGATGCTATTGGCATCTAGTGAGTGGAGGCCAAGGATGCTGTTAAACATCGTACGATGCACAGGACAACCCCCACAACAAAAGGTTATCTAACTCAAAATGTCAATAGTGCTGAGGTTGAGAAACCGTATTAAGTTAAAGCCTGCTGTTCCTCTTCAGTCTGATACCCAACCAAATTTGAAACCAAAGCGGTGACGCTATAGGCCCACCTTGATCTCGGTCCCCAAGAGTGTACTCCTTCTGCAGGGGTAAGAATGTCACTTCTTTACCCCGTGGCCACACGGGATTATCGATTTGTTTACACTCTGCTGGAAGCAGTGTGCTAACACAGAGCAGAGGCCTTGCCCTTCAGCGGGAATGAGCAGAGTGAGGCAGGGGGAGCGTCTTACAATCCGGTGAGCGCAGTCTCGCTGGAGTCCACTAGGGGGCAGCCATCAGGAGCTCCCACTAGAGCAAGTTGCTTAAAATTATATCAAAATAAAACAAGAAAAGACCAGCTGCCTGCCACCATGCTCTCCTAAAGACAAGAGAAAGAGCCTGGAGTAAGAGAGACACACAGGTTAAAATTCTAGCTCTGCCATCCATCCATATTTGCCCCAAAAATAGGACATGCTGATGAATAGCACATTCTATTTTTATAAGGAAATTTTTCAGAAGAAAAAAATCTGTAAGCACCTAACATATTTGTATGCAAAGATTTTAAAATGGTCTTGTAAAGACAAATTTGCTTTTTAAAAACATATAGTGTAATTTTTACAATTGAACATGGACATGAAACAAAATCCAGGATCCCACACGATGGAAAGTAGATCTCTATCATACATGCACAAAATTGGCAACAGAAATTAAAACGCATTGTAATTCCACGTGTTGGTTGAAATGTAGAGCTATCGGCACTCGTTTACTGCTGGTGGGAATACGAAGGGGCGCAAGCACCGTGGAAAACAGTGTGACATTATTAAAGCTGAAGACCTGCAGCAGGAGATACAGTCAAGATTGTTCAGAGGAGCGTTGTTTGTAATGCTGTTGGAAGCATCCCATATGTCCAGATACAGCACACTGCATAAATAAAATTGTGATATATTCAATACACAATGGATATTATACAGCAGTACTTCTCAAGCTTTTTAACCTCAGGATTCTTTACTTTCTTAAGAACCATTGACCACCTCAAAGAGCTTTTGTTTATATGGGTTCTATCTATACGTATTTACTATATAGGAAATTTAAACTGAAAAACTTTACAAATATTTATTTATTCATTTTTAAAATAATAAATAAATAAATAATAAATAATAAATAAATAATAAATAAAATAATAAATACATTTAAAAAATAATAAATACATAAATAATAGTTATGAAAAATAACCTATTTTCCAAAAAAAATTAAAACCTAGCAAGAATGGCAGCATTACTTTAGATTTTTGCAAATCTCTTTAATGTCTGCCTTAATAGGAGACAGCCGCATTCTCATATCTGATTCCACATTGAGTCTGTTGCAATATCACACATCATGTAGTTTCTGGAAAGTTCCACAGTACATTCATGAGAGAATAAAGATAAAAAAGGCAAATAACTTCTTAGTATTACGTACAAGGTATGTGTAATTAGTACCAAAAAAATAGTTTTGACCTCTTAGATGCTCCAATTTTGAGAAACACCATTATGTAACACTAAAAATGAATAAGCTACCTTGTTATATAAGATGTCATGGAGATCTCTCACAAACATCATGTTGAAAAAAAGAAGCAAGATGAAAAAGATAACATTCAGGGTTAACAGGGAGTTATTGTTTAATGCATACAGAGTTTCAGTTTTGCAAGGTGAAAAAAAGTTCTGGAGATGGATGGTGGTGATAGTTGCACAACACTGTGAATGTGCTTAATACCACTGAAATGTGTGCTCAGAGATGGCTAAGATGGTAAATTGTATGTAATGTGTATTTTACCAATTGAAAATAAAAAAGAACACACTCTGTGATTCCATTCATATAATAATGTTCAAAAACAGTCAAAACTAAACTACATTGTTTAAGGATACATACATACATAGTAAGTCTTTAAATGAGAGCAAGAGAATCATTACTGCAAAATCGAGATGGTCAGTGCTCTTGGAGAGAAGAATGGGGTTGTAATTGGAGATTGACCTGGATGGTACTCCACATAATTATTCTGTAAATTGAAGACATGTATTTTATGCACTTTTCAATATATACATTTCAAAATAAAAGCAAAGCAAAACACATGTATGAAATGGATTACTCTCAAAAGACGTGAAAAGGCATTCAAGAGAGAAAGGACAGCCTATTGAGTAAATAGTACTGTAAAAATTGCAAATCCATATGAAAACAAAAATAAGCCTCAACCCATAATCAAAAATTAACTCAAAATGTAAAACCTAAAATTATAAAACGTCTAGAAGAAAACATAGGAGAAAATATTTGTTACCTTGAGTGAAGCAAAAATTTCTTAGATAAGACAGAAAATGCATGATCCACAAGAGAAAAGTTTGACATATTGAACTTCATCAAAATGTTAAACTTCTGCTGCTTGAAAGACTCTGTTAAAGAAATGGAAAAACAAGCTACAGACAAGGAGAGAATATTTATAAAACATGTTCTGCTATACAATAAAAATCCAAGGAACTCTTGAAACAAAAGAAGAAAATGAAAAACCCAGTTAAAAAATGGGCAAAATATTTTAAGATATTTCACCAAAAAAGATATATAAACTATCAATGCACAATCTGAAAATGAAATTAAGAAAAGAATTCCAGATACAACATCATCAAAAAGAATAAAATATTTAGGAATAAATTTAACAATGGAAGAGAAAGGCTTATATGGTGACTGCTACAAAACATTGCTGAAAGTAGTTAAAGAATCTTAAATAAATGGAAAGACATCCCATATTCATGGATCAGAAGACTTAACACTGTTAAGATGGCAAGACTCCTCAAACTCATTGACAAATTCAATGCAATTTGTTTCAAAATTCTAGCCAGATTTTTTCCATAAATTGATAAGCTGATGCTAAAATTCATGTTGAAATAAAAGGGGCCCTGAATATCCAAAACAATCTTAAAAAAAGAACAACATTGAAGGACTCACACTTGCTGATTTCAAACTTACTATAAAGCTCCAGTAATCAAGACAGTGTGGTACTGGCTTAAGGATAGACAGATCAACAGAATAGATTTGAGAGTTCAGAAATAAACTCTTATATTTATGGTTAATTGAATTTCAACAAGGGTGCCAATGGAAGATTAGTCAACAACTAAAGGGAATGAACTGCTGCTGTAACAACATGGATGAATTTCCCAAATGCAATATGCTAAGTGAAAGAAGGCAGCCTCAAAAGGCAGCATACTCTATGATTCCATTTATACGGTGATCTGGGCCAGCCCAGATCCAGGTTCTAGCATGTATTCGTACTTGACACTGAATAATAGTCTAGCTTTTTAATGGCTGAATAATATTCCATTGTATAGAGTTTTTTTTCTGCATTTATCCAGTGGTGGATGTTTGGATTGTTTCCACTTTTTGGCTATTATGAATAATGCTGCTATGAACAATCATGTACAAGTGTTTGTACGGACATGAGTTTCACTTCTCGGGTACGTATCCAGGCATAAAATTTCAAGGTCTTATGATAATTCTATATTTAACTTCTTGAGGAACTTCCAAACTGTTTTCCATAGCAGCTATACCAGTTTCTATTCCCTTCAGCAACATATGAGGGTTCCTGTTTCCCCACACCTTCGTCAACACTTGTTACAGTCCTTTTTGATCACAGCCATCTAGTGGGTATAAAGTGGTATCTTATTGCTTTCTTTGCATTTCCTTAATGACTAATGATGTTGAACATCTTTTCATGTGCTTATTGGCCATTTATATATGTTCTTTAGAGAAATATGTATTCAGATCCTTTGAACATTTAAAAATTGGGTTATTTGTCTCTTTGTTGTTGAGTTATGAGTTCTTTATATAGTCTGAATACAGGTCCCTTATCAGACATATAATTTGCAGATATTTTCTCCCATTATGTGGTTTGTCTTTTCACTTTCTTGATGATGTCCTTTGACGCACAGAAGTTTTTAATTTCAATGAAGTGCAAGGTAGCTATTTTTTTCTTTGGTGTTATATCTAGGAAATCATTGCCTGATCTATAGTCACAAAGCTTTATTCCTATGTTTTCTTCTAGGAGTTTTATAGTTTTAGCTTTTATATTTAGGTCTATGACTTATTTCCAGGTAAGTCTGCACATGGTGTGAGGTAGGAGTTTGACTTTACTCTTTTGCATGTGGGATATCCAGTTTCCCCAGGAATATTTGTTGAAAAGACTATTGTTTCCCCATAAAAAAACCTATACATGAATTTTATAGAAGTGTTATTCATAACTGCCCCAACAGGAAACAAATCAAATATTCAACTGGTGTATACACCAAACGTGGTGCATCCATCAATGGAAGAATATCTCTGTCACCCTCAAGATTCCCACGTGCTCCTTTGTAGTCAACCCCTCACTCTGCTTCCAGCCCCTGACAACCATTGACCTGTTTTCTGTTCCTACAATTTTGCCTTTCCCAGAGATATTCTGGGGCTGGCCTGGTGGCGTAGTGGTTAAATTTGTGTGCTCTGGTTTGGTAGCCTAGGGTTTGCAGATTCAGACCCGGGTGTGGACTTACACATTGCTCATCAAGCCATGCTGTGGCAGCGTCCTGCATACGAAATAGAGGAAGATGGGCACAGATGTTAGCTCGGTGACAATCTTCCTCAGGCAAAAAGAGGAAGATTGGCAATAAATGTTAGTTCAGGGTCAATCTTTCTCACCAAAAAAAAAATACATTCTCTATCTTTTTTTTTGGTTTTGGTTTGTTTGTTTTTGAGGAAGATTGGCCCTGAGCTAATATCTGTGTTCGTCGTCCTCCACTTTATATGTGGGATGCCTGCCACAGCATGGCTTGATAAGTGGCGCTAGGTCTGTGCCCGGGACCCAGGCTGGGAAATCCCAGGCTACTGAAGTGGAGCGCAAGAACTTAACTGCTACCTGCCACCAGTCTGGCTCCTCTATATCTTGACTTAGTGGTTGTTACCTGATTGCATATGTTTGCCAAAACTCAGAAAACTGTAAATTAAAAAGGGTGAGTTTTTCTGTACAAAAATTATGCCTCAATGAATTTAAAAAGAAAAAAACCAAAGGGAAAAAAGTGGTTCTTCCTCTCATATTTTTCGACCAATCATCCAATTGCATTTTCTCTTCCCAGAAGGCAATCACTGTTGCCAGTTTGTGCATCCTTTCAGTTCTTCAGAAATATCCTAGATATATAAAGTGTGTATATATATATGCATGTATACATGTGTGTATATATATGTCTACAAATAGCTTTATATATATATGTGTAATTTCGGTAGCATATTATACACTGGTTTTTACTGTGCTTTGCACCTAACTGTATGTTTTGAACACCCTTCCAAATCAGTACATAGCAGGCTATCTCATTCCTTTTTTTTTTTTTTTTAAGGCAGGCAGTTAGCTTGGCTGAACTCAAACTGGGGCCTGCCTCCCCTGGGGTCCTCAGTGGCTGAAGCGTCAGTTGGCTTTCGTTCGCCTTTGATAGAGTGGCCCTGTATACACGGGTTCTGCTAGAGATTTGGGCTGAGTTCATGTGTAGACTTTGGGACTCCCTTTTCTGGATCTCCCTTTCCAGGACACCCCCCTCCATCTCCAGAGGCTGTGTTTGTGTATACCCTGACTTCTGGTTCTTCAGGCCAGTAAAACCGGGTGCATTCTAGCGGAGTTTCAGCCATCCACCCTTGGGACGAACTTGCCCTGGGAATACAGACACTCACCCAGTACTGTCCCCTTCCTCCAAGTGACGACACCCCTCCAGCCCCTCCTCAGGTAGTCAGTTTCTCACCTTTTGTCCAGAGTTTACAATTGCCGTCCGCACAGCATCCATCTGGGAGGAGTTACTCGCAGTGACTGCGAGCGGAATTTTGCCCCACCCCCCCCTTTTTAACTGCCACGTTTCACCTTCAGGGCAACAACCCTGCAGGAAAGGTGTTAGTATTGCCTCCTGCCTTCAGAGCAATGGGTAACACGCATTCATTGGACTCCAGATGATTCGAGCATTGTGGGATGGAATTTGGGTTTTTTGTCTTTTTGTTTTGGCAAATAAAATACTTTCAGTATGACCTTGGAAAGGTCACTTAACTTCAGTTCTGATTCGTAAATCTGAATAATAATGAGACTTTCTTGACAGGATGGTCCTGAAGGTCAATGAAATAGCACAATGACGGCCAATGTTTCCATGGCACTTACTCTGTGTGGGTACTGCTCTCAGCTGCTTTATTCCTTGCAACAGCCTATAAACAGCCTATAAAATTATTATTAGCTCCATTTGACAGTGAGGAAACTGTGGTATGGTGTGTTTACATGACTTACTCAGTGCCCCTCACGTAGTATGTGGCAGAGCTGGGATTTGAACCCAGGCTGTGGGTGCCTACACCTGTGCACTTAACCATGCGCAACCTCGAATTCGGTGGTTCTTAATCCTGGCTGTGCATCAGAATCACCTGCACATCCCGCAAAGCCCTGCTGATGCCGACTCTCCAGCCTCTGCCTTTGGAACAAGCTCTGTGGCACAGAGTGCTGCAATACGGGCAATAATTCCCTCCCTGTCTCCCTTTTCCTGCTTCACTGGGGAGGATTTCTACTGCTAGCGCCTTCTGGGCCCTCGACCAAGTCACAGGCCTATATTATTACAGTTACATTTGACCCATTCCCGATAGATCTATGTCACCAGCCTGCACGACAGGTGGAACAGGCTCCATGAGCTGCAGGAAGAAACAGCTGTCCTCGGGATCATCCTTCCCTACCTGTCTGAAGCTGTAACCTGGTCATATGACTATTGGGAACGATGCTATGAGCCATGGTGTATGTGTCACCCAGCCTCTGCCTTTTAAATAAACCACACCTGACAACGCCATGCCATCCCGGGCCCCTTCAAGTTCCTGGAACCTCCCAGGATGCTCCTGAAGGTAGTTATAGTTCAGCTGTAACTTGGGTCTTAGGAACACATGGTACCAGCCACACTCAAACGGCCCTGAACGTTAACGTATGTGGTCCTGAGTTCTCCTCTAGGACATTCCTCTCTCAAATCAAAATTTGTTTAAATGGCTTTTATGGTCCTCCATGATCTGGCTCCAGCTTACCTCTGTGGCTTAAGGCCTGTCACTCCCCATCATTATCTACACTTCAGCCACTCCAGCCTTTTTTGTTTTTTTTGAGGAAGATTAGCCCTGAGCTAACATATGTTGCCAATCTTCCTCTTTTTGCTGAGGAAGACTGGCCCTCAGCTAACATCTGTGCCCATCTTCCTCTACTTTATATGTGGGACGACTACCACAGCTTGGCTTGCCAAGCAGTGCCATGTCCGCACCCGGGATCCAAACGGGTGAACCCCTGGCCACCAAAGCAGAACGTGCAAACTTAACCGCTGCGCCACCGGGCCGGCCCCTACTCCAGCCTTTTGACTGTCCCTGGATCACACCTCGGGGCTCTTTCACTTGCCGTTCACCCTACCTAGAAATTTCTTTCCCCAGAACTTCACACGGCTAATTCTTGTCATTCAGATGCCAACTCAAGGTCACCTCCTTACAGATGCTTATCTTGACCATCCAGTGTTGTCACCCTTGCCCACTCTCCATCTCACTACCTTGTTTTATTTTCTTCATAGCACTTATCACATTCCACACTTATTTTCTCTTTGCTTGTCTAGCTGCTTATTGTGCCTCTCCCACACTAGAATGGAAACTCCAGGGGAGCAAAAGCCTTGCCCATCGTGTTCACTGCTGTATCCCAAGTACCTAGAACGAAGCCAGGAACAAGCTGTCAATCAAGAAGGATCTATGAGATGAAGGAGTGCCTTACTCCTTTGCCCCACCCCTTTCATCCAGTGTTCTCCAGGAGCAAAGCCAGCATACCAAAGGCAAGGTTCATGCCTAAGATGGCGCGGGTTTGACAGACACCACCAGGAACCCCTGACAGGAGGAGTAAGCTCACCACTGCGTTTGAATCCTGGCTCCATCGCTGCTAGCTGTGACCTTGGACTCACTTCCAGGGTGTGTGACCTTGGGCTCATCTCTCTATGCCTCAGTTTTCCTCCTGTGTAAAACTTGGAGAAGAATCGCACCTACCGCACAGGATCACGGTAAGGATAAATGAGATAGGACACACCAAGCAGCTACACAGTGCCAGAGCCATTGGATCAGTAGTCCTGGATGCAGAGTTGGGGAGGGGCAAGCACAAAGCCCGAGGGATGGCCTACGTACAAAAGGCGGCCCCATTTGCACTTCCTCAAGGGAGCTTTGGGAGGATGAGGGGAGATTGAAGGCCACTGCCCTGCTTTAACCCATCAAGCTTGTTACTGTTGGCAAAGCCAGACAGAACCACTTATCAAGAGTCATTTTGGGGCTCCACAAATAATTGCCCAGCACCTGCCAGGTGCCTTAGAGAAGACTGCCCTCTGGGAGCTTAATTTAGGAGTAGAAACAAGATAAAAACACAAGACCAAAGATAACAGAGGAGAGGCGGGAGACGGAGGAACGCCAGGGCACAGTGTGCTGGCACTGGACCAACTTTGCGCCTGGTACCCGGAGAGAGGGCACCCCTTCCCACGGGCCCCTCCATAGGATGCCTTGGGCGTAAAATAGAGTCAGTGGTTAAAAGATTGCTCTTCCCAGCCAGGCACACCCTGTTTTAAATCATAGCTCCTGTGTCACCTCAAGTACCTGACCTCACCTCTCTGAACCTCATTGCCTCATTTATAAAGTAGGGATAATATTGGGACATATTCACAGGGTTCTTGGGGGGATTTAGGGCGGATTACATTAAAAGTATGTGGCACAAGGCGTGCAAATAGGAAACAGGCGGCAAATGCCAGCCATAGTTGTTGTGTTGTTGTTATATTTATCCTAGTTGCAAGCACTTCAAAGAAACATCTCTAGCATTTGCCACTTTAATTTATTTCCCAAACCACATTTACATGGAGCTTCTGCGCCAGCCACTGTGATGGAATTGTCTTAACAAACCTATGAGGAAGGTACATTTTTTTGTCTTCTTTTCTTTTTTTACACATAACAATATTTGCCATCATAACCATTTTTGTGTTCAGTAGTGTTAAGCATGTTCACTTTCTTGCAAAATTCACATTTACGTTCATGTTGTTGTGCACATCGTTGTGCAACAGCTCTCTAGAACCTTGTCATCTTGAAAAACTGAAACTCATCTCCCATTTCCCCCTCCCCCAACCCCTACTTTCTGTTTCTAGGAAGGTACTATTTTAACCCTGTTTCACAAGTCAAGAAACCAACAGCAGCTACATAATTTGCGGGGCTCTGTGCAAAATTAAAATTATGAGGAATGTCAAGATGGCAACAGCAGAGCATTAAACCAAGCACAGCGCCGTTCTGAGTGCAGTCACATGGGGCCCATGAAACAGGCCCTGGAGGAAACCAAGGACCAGAGAAGTTGTTACTGTCCCAAGGTCACACAGCAAATTTTGGAGACTCTAAAATTACATTACCTCCTTTACTTATTGTAAACTCTCTGCAGACAGGGGCTTTGATTGCCCAGTGCCCAGCACAGTGCCTGGCACACAGTGGCACTCATTACAGATTTCATAGCTGGGGGAATGGATGAACAAGTCCCATTCACTCGAGAAAAAAGAGGCTTCTCCAAGTTTCTGTGCTTTGCCCCAGCTCTGGCACAGTAACATTCCCATCCCTGCTCCTCCTTTGTGTTTACCTAGTGCCCTCTGATTCCTAGGAGAAGGCAGAGCGGCGTGTGTCTGTCTATATATAATGTCCCCTAGCACTTTTATGAGGCCCCACCCCTGCAGTACATTCCTGGTTTTGAGTCCCACTTTTATGGAGTGGAGTGAAGCTAGAAGACACTGGACAAAGTGAGGTCACTAGTGACATGCCTTGGTTCCAGGTCCCCAGGTCACCCAGAGTCTGATGGCTAAGTCCCCTCTCGGATGTCAACAGAGGAAAACTAGAATTGAATTACTAAAGTATGACCAAAACGTGAGTTTTATGTACAGCTGTGGCATGAAGTGCTGCAAAGAGTTTAGGGAGCTGTCCTAATGTTTGTTTCTTTGAAAGAAACTCCCTTCTTCTGTCTGAATGTTTGTGAGATTCTTTGCTGGCAGTGGGAAGAAAGGGGAGATGGAATCTTAGGGGCACATGAATAGCTTAATCATAATCCTGATCTCATGACCGCCTGTCATCATTGTTCTGTGCATGGCTCCTTCTAGTTTAATTATTCTTTCTGTCTTTATTTTCAGGAAAGTAATGAATACATACCTGTGAACCCACCCAACAACAAGATCATTACCAAAAACTCATATCTCCCCTGGGCTCCCCATCTAGCTCATCCTTCCATCTCGGAGGTAATCACTGTTCTGAATTTTGTGTTTCCTGGTCGTCTTTTTTCAGATGTGTTAAATTTGTATGCCCAGCTAAATAATACATTGTTTAGTTTTACTTGTTTTTGAAATTCATAGAAAGGGTATTATGTAATATGTCACCTTCTAAAACTTGCTTTTTTGACTCAAGAGCAGCTAAAAGGATCCCATCGACATGTTGCTGCACATAACTGTATTTTATTTATTTTCACTGCTGTATAATATTACACTGTCTGGATAAACTATAATGTATTTTTCATTCTCCAGTCATGGGCATTTGAGTTGTTTCAGCTTTTTGCTATTAAAAAGAGAGCTTCCATGAAATTCTTATGCAAGTACGTGAGTTAAATTTTGCCTTGGGTATAACCAGGAATGGAATTACTGATTCATAGAGTATAGGAATGCTCAAATTTGCAAGGAATGCAAATTTGGCTTCCCAAAATTGCTCTTTCAGTGTATATCCCGCCAGTGATCGTAGGAGATCCCACTGATCCCCATCTCTCAGACATGGTATTGTCAAACTGTTAATTTTA